AAAAAAAATGAGATCCTAATATCAATATGACATTAATTCAATCCTTTTTCATTTTTTATTGTTAACTTTTCCTGCAGATGGGATGATTGCATGCGGGCACTTTCAGGGGAAGAGAACTTTTGACATCCTACGGAGATGCTTACATTTGTTCGTAGACCGTTTCAATTAAAATATAATTTATTTTGCCTGTAAGAAAATGTTGGGAAGGATTTTCCCACCTGCAACGGGGAAAATTTAATACTGCTGAAATGCATAAATCTGGTCTGTGCCCGATTCCTGATACTTTTGCCTTAATTTGCCAGTATTTGCAAATTTTCTTGGTTCAAAAAAGGAGAGTTCAATGGAGAAGACTTGCCTTGAGCAACTCTCCAGATCGGCGGCAATATTATTATTCTCTGACATTTACACGGATATGCTTACGTGCCCTTGCACATGTATGTGAACAAAATGTAGAATAAAGTAGCAGATTTCTTGCTGGGCAAGTCATGCTTTAAGAAAACATCAGAAGTTGGCCTTCCTTAGGATAATCTAAAGAGATGGGGAAATGTATTTATTACACTTAATTGGGAATTAATTACATCTGGATTTTGTTGGGAAGATAGACCGATTTTGGAGATGGAACCTGTTACATTTAATCGGATAACAAGTGATAAGAGATGGAATTAAAACAACAACAACAAATGTGGATATTTGATCCAGGATGAAATGGAAGATGACATGGAAAAATGGAAACTGATCAAGGAGAGAAGCAACCTAGAACTAAGGAGAAACTTCCTGACAGTTAGAACAATTAACCAGTGGAACAACCTGCCTCCAGAAGCGGTGAATGCTCCAACACTGGACGTTTTTAAGAAGAAACTGGACAGCATTTGTCCAAAATGGTATAGGGTTTCCTGCCTGAGCAGGGGGTTGGACTAGATGACCTCCAAGGTCCCTTCCAACTTTATCATCATCATTATTATTATTATTAAATACCTACGAGCTGATTACAATAACAGTTTGTTAACGGAGGTTTTTGAAAGTTTAACCTTCTCTCTTTTTTTAAATCATTATTGTGCTTCCTGTTCACTGTTTTGTCATAGTGTACAGAGGACACGTTAGTAATTTGCAAATAGATTTAGTAGTTTAAACATTTTTGGGCCTGTTTTGCAAGGCATAGGAAATTGATATTGTAGTAATGTATCAATCAGTATTCAACTGGGGGGAATAATACGTGTATAGGTGTGTTGAAGGAAAAATCTTCATCAGGGTCCAGTCCAAACCGGGAATAAAGAAACATGGCGACTGCGTTAGAAAGAAGGCTGTAGTTTATTGAAGAGGAGAGCCAGACAGAAAGATGGCTCTGGAAAAAAAAAAGAGAGAGAACACATGTAGTAAGGAGTGGGTTTTTATACCTTCTTGGGCTTTTGTGTTTGGAGTTGTTCCTGTGTCATGAACCTTGACCTGAGTCTGAGTGTGCCTTTCTGGTATTCTTATGGTGGTGGGTTAATCCTATTATGTCCTGTCTTAGAGTTTGGGTGGGGTATATAGATTTTAAGGGTCTTTGTCTTCCTGATCGCTTCAGCTTCTAGCTGGAGGGCTCCAATCTTCCTGAATGGATTATTACATCTACATTTCTAAAAGCTGGTTTCTGCTGAGTTGTCTGGCTGGGTGTGTGTGTGTGTGTGTGTGTGTGTGTGTGTGTCTGTGGAGACATTTCTGCCTTTTTAAAAGATCTTCTCCATTATTCCTTTGGGGAAATATACTCTGCCTTTTTCATATTCCCAAAATAATAATTTTTTTACAATAAAATAAAAATTTGAAAGAGGAAAAAAAAGAAATCATAAAGGAGTTGATTTTCCTAGGAATGTTGGCTTATGGAAGGCCCTTCCAGGAGAGGTTGAATCTTAAATCAGAATAGAGCTCGAAGGGACCTTGGAGGTCATCTAGACCAGGGCTTTTCAACCTTTTCACCCATTGTACCACTTTTAGGATATGGCAACATCCGTGTACCACCAGTCGCCTAGCAAGGGGTCAAAAACTTGACGACCCCCCCCCCAAAAAAGGAAAAAAGTGATAAAGTACAGATAGTCCTCGACTTACAACAGTTCGCTTAGTGACTGTTCAAAGTTACAACGGCCCTGAAAAAAGTGCCCCCCAAGCCACAGCCGAGCAAGACACTTGCCTGCCCGCCCGGCGGCACTCTTCCTCCTGTCCGAGGTTTTCATTGTTCTGAGCATTTCTGTTGAGGATTGGCAGCGGAGGTGGGGTGGGGGGGGGTGTTTGGTTTTTATTCCCCCATCTGCTGGGTGGTTGCAGCATGTTTGGGTCACTTCACATGACCCTGGGACACTGTGACCGTCATAAATATGAATCAGTTGCCAAGCATCTGAATGTAAATCACAAGACCCTGGAGAGGCTGCAACATTCCAGCTGATCGGCGCTTCTTCTGGGCTCAGCAGAAGCGTCAGGATCAGCGCTGCTTTCCAGCTGATTGGTGCTTCTTCAGGGCTCAGCAGAAGCACCAGGATCAGCGCCGAGCTCCAACTGGATCCTGGCGCTGATCCTGGCGCTTCCCGAGCCCTGACAGCCCCCCAAAAGCGCCGATCAGCTGGAAAGCAGCATTGACAGCCCTGCAGCTCCAGCCGTCTCTCGCTCAGGCTTGTGCGGTGCTGCCACCAGTTCAGCTCCCCCACTACCACTTTTCTAGGATGGTCGCGTACCACCTGCCAGGTGCCAATGTACCACAGGTGGTACCCATACCACTGGTTGAAAAGCTCTGTTCTAATCCAGCCCCCTGCTCTAGCAGGAGACCCTAAATGAATCTCTGTGAGCCATTGGTAAAAACCATCCTTCCGCAGCAGATTTTATGTCTAGTTGTATAATAGGAGCAAGTATAGGTTCAGTAGATCTCAAAGAACTGAGCATCTGGGTCCTGTTTACCAGAGGCCAGAGTTGCAAGCCAGACCAAGAAGCTGAATTAAGAGGTCAGTCACAGCAAACGACCCAACATTGATTGAGGTGCAATCCACTCAGCGTAGAATATTATTCCATCCGAAATATGACATAAGCAGCTTGGGGACTTTTCGATCTGCTGCTATTTTTGGAGAATTTCCCCTACTTTCAGCAGGATGCCATCTGCTACTGTGATTTGAATTCTCCCCACTGCATGTGCCCTGAATATAGCAGAAATTGCAAAATGCAACCACGTTAACAATGGTCGGAGAGCAACTTAATCCCAAATTCCTGGAAACCGGAGAGCGTGATTGAGATACTTCAGGGAATCAATTTTACTTAAATCATAGTTCATGAATTCATACACTTTATGAATTAATTTTAGCCGGTGATCAGCTGGATCGGAAGACTTCGTCGGATACAGGTTACAAATTGCACCTCTTGTGTAGGGGAGGGTTAGCAGATAATCACAGTTGCAGCTGTTACACAATCCGCATGCAACGGTGATCGCATTAGACCCGGAATTCCTTCCAGCCTTCTGACCAGCTTTCTAGAAATTGATTTGCAGAAAATATAGCTGGGTAGCTTGTAAAATTTGGAAGGGGGGGGGGAAGTAAGAATATCCAGCTTGGCTGGCTCAGGAATTCTGGGAGTTGAAGTCCACGAGTCATAAAAGAGCCAAGCTTGCCTACCTCTGGCCTACCCTTTTGTGAGGTACAGCTCACTACATCGGAGGCACAGAACGTGGCTTGTTAATTTTGTTGTTAAGTGTTTTCGTTCTCCCGAGAATGATTTTGACATCTGCTAGTTCTGGAAGGAAACAGATGTTCCACAAACCAGACAGATGACAACTCGGCATGAGTTCCGGAAAATAAGTTTCCCAGCTGGAATGCAGTCCCTTCTTTTGACATACATACACACTCCCACTACTCCGGGGTTTCATTTCCCTACAGCCCAAGCTAGGTTGGAGCAAACCTGGATCGTGTGCCTTATGGGAAAATGGTCTCTAATAGTCTCTAACCCTTGATGTTCAACCAACGCTGAACTGAATTTGCAGGTTGTTTCAGATTGGCTTCTGAAATGTGCAAATCCAACCTAACTCTTTGTCGCCTCGTTGTTCTAGGTATATTAGCGGTGGCTACCCTACAGAAGGATGACCATGATGGGCGACGCGAGTGAAATGCTGGCCGCAGCTTTGGAGCAGATGGATGGCATCATTGCAGGTAGAAGAACGTCCACCACCTTCTTCCTTATCTCTACATTTTACCTCAGGCTTGTCAGATGCTATATTTTTCCTGTCCTGCTCTATGGTGTAGAGAGTTGGTCTCTGACAGAAGGCTACCTGAAGAGACTAGAAGCAGTTGAAATGTGGATTTACAGCTGGCTGTTACGTAGAAGCTGGGTTGACAGGATCAGAAATGGGGAGGTGATAAGCCACCTGGGAAAGCCAAGGGAAATCATCAAAACAATTAAAAAACGAAAGTTAGAATATTTCGGACATGTGATGCGACGCCCAGAAAAATTACTCCATTTAATCCTCCAGCGAAAGATTGAAGGCAAACGAGGTCCAGGCAGAAGAAGAACATCGTGGCTTCAAAATGTAAGGGACTGGTTTGCACAAAACTCAGCAGCACTTTTTCGTGCGGCTGCTGATAAAAACAGGATTGCCAACATGATTGCCAACGTCCGATAACGGATATGGCAGAAGAAGAAGAAGGAGGAGGAAGAGGAGGAGGAGGAGGAGGAGGAGGAGAAACCTTATGGTTGAGGGCAGGTGGGTCTTCAAACTTGGAAAGGTTAAGACTTTGTGGACTTCAATTCCCAGAATTCCTCAGCCAGCCACCCCATGCTGTCTGGGGTATTCTGGGAGTTGAAGTCCTCAAGTCTTAAAGTGGCCAAGTTTGAAGAATCCCGGTCTATAGGGACTGATCCAGTACAGGTAGTCTTTTGACTTAAAACAGTTTGTTTAGTGAACAAAGGCACTGAAAAAAGGGACTTATGACCGTTTTTCTCACTTAACAACCGTTGCAGTATTCCCTTGGTCATATGATCCAAATCCAGATGTTTAGCAACTGACTCATACTTAACGACGGTTGCAGTGTCCCAGGGTCATGTAATCTCCTTTTGTGACCTTCTGACAAGCAAAGTCAATGGGGAAGACAGTTTCACTTAACAACCCTGTCACTAACTTAATGACTGCAGTGATTCACTTAATAACTGGGGCAAGAGAGGTCGTAAAGGGGGGCAAAATTGACTTAACAGATTTCTCGCTTAGCGACAGAGATGCGGGGCTCAATTGTGGTCGTAAGTCGAGGACCACCTTTATCGGGAGTTCTGCTGATCTAGGAAAGAAATCAAACTCAACTTATTTGCTTTCATTATGTTGGAACTATTTTACCCCGTGGCATTTATATTCATTCTGCTCTTTCAGTCCAAGGTAATTCCTGGTAATTGATATTCGGTAGTGGTATTACATCCTGAGTGTTTACGGTGGCTTTGGATATAAATCCGTTGTCAAGTTTGAGGTTTTTTTGACAGCCTGGCTGATGATCGTCCAGAGTTTCATCTTACCCCATTTTTTTAAAAAAAATTCCTTTTCTGTTTTCAATCTGTCAATTCTGTCATTTGCTGCTTTCTTATCAGATCCGAGGACAGCACAGGTTGTAAAAGATTTGATAGCAAGGTAATCAAAAACTTTTTTTTAAAAAAAATCCCAATTAAAGTAGTACGTTAGCATGGGTCTTGGTCCATATCCTGCTAGCGTCCTTTTTGTCCAAGGAGCCAACCGTGCATTGAAAACTCCATAAATAAAGTAGAATATCACTCATGCATCAAAATAGAATACAATAGAATGGAATGGAATGGAATGGAATGGAATGGAATGGAATAGAATAGAATAGAATAGAATAGAATAGAATAGAATAGAATAGAATAGAATAGAATAGAATAGAAGTAGAGTAGAGTAGAGTAGAGTAGAGTAGAGTAGAGTAGAGTAGAGTAGAGTAGAGTAGAATAGAATAGGAGTAGAGTAGAGTAGAGTAGAGTAGAATAGAATAGAATAGAATAGAATAGAATATAGAACAGAACAGAATAGAATAGAATGTAGAATAGAATGTAGAATAGAACAGAATAGAATAGAATACAATGCAGAATATAGTAGAATAGAATGTAGAATGAGAATAGAATAGAACAGAATGTAGAATAGAATAGAATAGAATAAGGAATAGAATAAGGAATAGAACAGAACAGAATAACAGAGTTGGAAGGGACCTTGGAGGTCATCTAGTCCAACTCCCTGCTTAGGCAGAAAACCCTATACCATTTCAGACAAATGGTTGTCCAATCTCTTCTTAAAAACTTCCAGTGATGGAGCATTTACAACTTCTGGAGGCAAGTTGTTCCACCGATTAATTGTTTTAACTGTCAGGAAGTTTCTCCTTAATTCCAGATTGCTTCTCTCTTTGATCAGTTTCTAACCATTGTTTCTCGTCCTTCCCTCTGGTGCTTTGGAGAATAACGTGACCGCCTCTTCTTCTTTGTGGCAGCCCCTCAGATACTGGGACACTGCTATCATGTCTCCCCTATTTCTTCTTTTCTTTAGACTGGCCAAACCCAAGTCCCGCAGCCGTTCTTTGTATGTTCTAGCCTTCTTATTCTCACCCTTGTTCTTGTTCTCCAGGGTCCAAAGCACTGGAATACTCCAATGGCTTGTTTGATTGCCAATCCCCAACGTCTCCCTTCATGGGAAGCTTGCGGGTTCTGCATCTGGTGGAAGACCTTCGGGGTTTGTTGGAGATGATGGAAATAGATGAAAAAGAAGGATTGCGGTGCCAGGTCCCCGATTCGACAGCAGAGATTTTGATGGAATGGCTGCAAAACCAAATGGTGAGACAAACAAATGGGTAATATTAAATTATAGTGAAAAAAAGAAATGGTGGGCCTACCCTAGGGGTAGGCAATCTCGGCTCTTTTATGACTCGTGGACTTCAACTCCCAGAATTCCTGAGCCAGCATGGCTCAGCTTGGAAACCTCTCCCTTTCCCCTCAGCATGGCTGGCTCAGGAATTCTGAGAGTTGAAGTCCATGAGTCATAAGAGAGCCAAGGTTGCCTACCCTTGCTAGCCTAAAAAGACCCCAGGATTTTTTTTTAACATACTTTAACATACTTCTCAAAGGAACATGGTGGCTTGCACGGTTAGAACGCTGGGTTGAAGGTTAGCAAGCCTGCGGTGGAGACTCAAGTGCTGCTGTGGGGTGAGGTTGAGCTCCCGTCCTTCGCTCCAGCTCCCAAGTGTGTGTCCTCCAGGCAACGGTGATCTCACCCGCTAATCCTTTCAACCCGGAAGTGCCTTAGTGCTTCTGACACAAGTGCAGTGTGATGTGATGCGACAAGCTTGTCAAAATTCGATGGCGTTGCCATGCAATTTGTCTCCGAGTCTTTTACAAGATTTTGCGCTTCCCTATTACTTTTATCTGTGATGAGTGAGTTGCTTTGTAGAGTGAGATGGGTGGCCTGTAAATTTAACAAATAAATAAGTAGAAAGAAAGAAAGAAAGAAAGAAAGAAAGAAAGAAAGAAAGAAAGAAAGAAAGAAAGAAAAGAGAGAGAGAGACAGAAAGAAAGAAAGAAGAGAGAGAGAGACAGAAAGAAAGAAAAAAGAGAGAGAGAGAGAAAGAAAGAAAAAGAAAGAAAGAAAGAAAGAGAAAGAGAGAAAGAAAGAAAGAAAAGAAAGAGAAAGAAAGAAGAGAGAGAAAAAGAAAAAGAAAAAAGAGAAAGAAAGAAAGAAAGAAAAGAGAGAAAGAGAGAGAAAGAAAGAAAAAGAAAGAGAAAGAAAGAAAAAGAAAGTGAAAGAGAGAAAGAAAGAAAAAAAAGAGAAAGAGAGAAAGAAAGAAAAAGAAAAAGAAAAAAGAAAGAGAAAGAAAGAAAGAAAGAAGAGAGAGAGAGACAGAAAGAAAGAAAAAAGAGAGAGAGAGAAAGAAAAAGAAAGAGAAAGAAAGAAAAGAAAGAAGAGAGAAAGAAAAAAGAGAAAGAAAGAAAGAAAGAAAGAAAGAAAGAAAGAAAGAAAGAAAGAAAGAAAGAAAGAAAGAAAGAAAGAATTTAGATAGAGGGTTGTTATCTTCTCATGTAACTGACTTTTGATGTTAAACTGACAATGCAGGTGGGAGGATTGCATTGCTTCTTGCTATCTTGCAAGCAGCACCTGCTAGCTGCAGCCTTTTAGGATGAATGACCAGTTCATCTACTGTTGTCATAACTACTTTCACCTCTTCCATAATTCATCATGTGAGCTGATGTCCAATTAATATTGTGAAGGTCACTCGCAATATTAAAAAATGATGATGTAGGCCGTCCAGTTCTCTGTTGGGAAGGAAGGTTTAGAAAAATGGGCTTGAGCCCAGTTTGCAGTTACAATCTTGCGCTGTCCATCTGTTAAAAATGAAAAATAAAAATCAGCTTACAGGTCAGTAGTTAGGTGGCCAGGCAGCCCTAAAAATGTGGTTGTCTCTTCTGATGGCGACGTGAAAGTTCTTCAGAAGAAGCTCGATTTGCAGTAGTCCAAAGATGCCATCTACTGGAAAATAAGATTATATGCGATCTGATCTTCAATGTACGTCTTCAGTGAAATCTCCTATTGGGTTTCCATGACCGTGAAACCATTCTCCTGTGGAAAATTGTTGTTGAGGTATGGTCCTCCATATCATGTCACCCCTAGGCCTTCTCTTCATTAAACTAGACCAAAGGTAGGCAACCTTGGCTCTTTTATGACTCGTGGACTTCAACTCCCAGAATTCCTGAGCCAGCATGGCTCAGCTTGGAAACCTCTCCCTTTCCCCTCAGCATGGCTGGCTCAGGAATTCTGGGAGATGAAGTTCACGAGTCATAAAAGAGCCAAGGTTGTCTACCCCTGAACTAGACATACCCAATTTCTGCAACTTAATAATAATAATAATAATAATATAATAATAAAGTTGGAAGGGACCTTGGAGGTCATCTAGTCCAACCCCCTGCTCAGGCAGGAAACCCTATAGCATTTCAGACAAATGGCTGTCCAGTGTCTTCTTAAAGACTTCCAGTGTTGGAGCATTCACCGCTTCTTGAGGCAGGTTGTTCCACTGATTAATTGTTTTAACTGTCAGGAAGTTTCTCCTTAGTTCTAGGTTGCTTCTCTCCTTGATTAGTTTCCATCCATTGCTTCTTATCCTGCCTTTAGGTGCTTTGGAGAATAGCTTGACTCCCTCTTTTTGTGGCAGCCCCTGAGATATTGGAACTCTGTTATTATGTCACCTCTCGTCCTTCTTTTTCATTAAACTAGATATACCCAGTTCCAGCAACTGTTCCTTATATGTTTTAACCTCCAGTCCCCTGATCATCTTTGTTGCTCTTCTCTGCACTCTTTCTAGAGTCTCAACATCTTTTTTATATTGTGGTGACCAAAACTGAATGCAGTATTCCAAGTGTGGCCTTACCAAGGCATTGTAAAGTGGTATTAATACTTCATGTGATCTTGATTCTATCCCTCTGTTAATGCAGCCTAGCACTGTGTTGGCTTTTTTGGCAGCTGCAGCACACTGCTGGCTCATATTTAAGTGATTGTCCACTAGGACTCCGAGGTCCCTCTCACAGTTGCTACTATTGGGCAAGGTACCCCCTATACTATACCTGTACATTTGGTTTTTCTTGCCTAAATGTAGAACTTTACTTTTTTTACTTTTTTTTTTTTACTTCATATGTTTTAGCCTCCAGTCCTCTAATCATCTTTGGTATCATCTTGGAGTTTTGTGAGAGATATAAAAGTGTAAACAGAAAATAAATATATGGGGCATGGGGTGGGAAGGGATCTTGACTTTGTCGTGGTCTTTTAAATGGATCTAGAAAGCCATGTGACATCGACCTAATCTTTTCCTTTTGTTTTCCAGATTAATGGTCATTTGTCTGCTAACGGAGATGTCTACCAGGAACGGCTGACTCGGCTGGAAAGTGACAAGGAATCTCTTGTTCTGCAAGTGAGTGCTTTTTCAATTTGGCATGTTCTTTCTTTCTCTCTGCCTAATAAAGTTTTGGTTCTTGATAGGGAGTTGCGTACAAGCAGCACTTTTCAAATAGATTTTGCAGAACTATCTTAGAAGGGTTCCTAAGAAAGCTTAGGAACTATAGATTATCAGGGATTCAGTAACAGGCTAAGAAAAAGATAACGATGTTAGCTGTGGATGTTCCAGATCCCTTAGCCCAAACAGACCCCAAGTCAGAAAGTCATAAGCCAGAAGACAGGCTTAGGATACAGGAGGATCTGGACAGACTTGAACACTGGGCGCTATCTAACAAAATGAAATTTAATGGTGAAAGAAGTAAGGTTCTACATTTAGGCAAGAAAAACCAAATGCACAGGTCTAGTGTAGGGGGTACCTTGCTCAGTAGTAGCAACTGTGAGAGGGATATCGGAGTGCTAGTGGACAATCACGTAAATAGGAGCCAGCAGTGTGCTGCAGCTGCCAAAAAAGCCAACACAGTGCTAGGCTGCATTGACAGAGGAATAGAATCAAGATCACATGAAGTGTTAATACCACTTTACAAGGCCTTGGTAAGGCCACACTTGGAATACTGCATTCAGTTTTGGTCGCTACGATGTAAAAAAGATGTTGAGACTCTAGAAAGAGTGCAGAGAAGAGCAACAAAGATGATCAGGGGACTGGAGGCTAAAACATATAAGGAACGGTTGCTGGAATCGGATATGTCTAGTCTAATGAAGAAAAGGACGAGGGGGGACATGATAGCAGTCTTCTAGTATCTCAGGGGCTGCCCCAAAGAAGAGGGAGTCAAGCTATTCTCCAAAGCACCTGAAGGATGGAAACTAATCAAGGAGAGAAGCAACCTAGAACTAAGGAGAAACTTCCTGACAGTGAGAACAATTAACCAGTGGAACAACCTTCCTCCAGAAGCGGTGAATTTTCCAACACTGGAAGTTTTTAAGAAGAGACTGGACAGCCATTTGTCTGAAATGATATAGGGTTTCATGCCTTAGCAGGGGTTGGACTATTATTATTATTATTATTATTATTATTATTATTATTATTATTATTATTATTATTATTATTATTATTATTATTATTATTATTATTATTATTATTATTATTATTATTATTACTACTATCTTTTTATTTCTGCACACAGATAAGCAGAGAAACATCACCCAAAATAGGAGATGAGAAGCTTAAAAAGATATAAAATCACTTTGTGTACAGTTCGGATATAATGGGTTCAGAATGAGTTCTTTTATCAACATTTGATTCATCTCTGATGCAGCACGTGTTCTCGGAGGATCTAACTTGTAGCATGCAACATCCCATAATTTCTTAGTAGGATCTTGTTAACCCTTGTCTTCAGCTTCATCATCTCGCCTTATAATGAGTTTACAATTAACTAAAGTTTACGTCCATGTTTCTGACAGATTTAAATCAGCCCTGTTATCTTGCAGCACATAGCTTTTTTGTTCCTCTGAGAATTACATACATTAATCAAAGAAACTCTTGAGTTGCTGAAAACATTACTCAAAGAGGCTCCCTTCCCTGGCTGCCATCAGTGGAGGGTAAGATTAAATAGCCCTTGTGGAAAAGAAAAATGTAGGAAGCTGTCTCCCTAAGTTGTTGATTAGAAGACCTTCCACATTGAGCTTTTAAAGTCAAATATTGACCGGTGAGTTCCATTGCTTTCAGGCCTATTTTACACATAAATAACGTCGGTTATATTCGTGTACTGAGCGCCAAAGAATGAAGGCCTTTGAACTATGGTGCTGGAGAAGATTCTTGAGAGTCCCCTGGACTGCAAGGCGATCAAACCGGTCAGTCCTAGAGGAGATCAACCCCGACTGCTCTTTAGAAGGCCAGATCCTGAAGTTGAAACTCAAGTACTTTGACCACCTAATGAGAAGGAAGGACTCACTGGAGAAGAGCCTAATGCTGGGAAAGATGGAGGGCAAGAGAAGAAAGGGACGACAGAGAATGAGGTGGCTGGATGGAGTTACTGAAGCAGTAGGCGTGAGCTTAAATGGACTCCAGAAGATGGTAGAGGGCAGGAAGGCCTGGAGAAACGTTGTCCATGGGGTCGCGATGGGTCGGACACGACTTCGCAACTAACAACAACAACATATTTGTGTAGGATGGGAATTCTCCTTTGTAGTCCCTTTAGACCAAAAACGAGACTTTAAAACTATTAAAGCAAGCAAAGATGTAATGCTTTTTTTTATTCAATACTAGCTGTACCCGGCCATGCGTTGCTGTGGCTCAGTCTGGTAAAAGCGTGTGTTGCTTTTATGTTTTTACCTATCACAGGTGTGACATCTATATAATAGTAGATATATAAAAACACGCGCGTATTCGATTGCAACGTTGTGTCAAAATTTCAAAGCAATCAGTGAAGAACTTTCAGAGATTTAAGATTTTGAACAAACAAACATTTACATTTTTATTTATATAGATTTTGTTTATTTCCAGCCTTTGAGCAGGGAATTGGTCCCAAAGGTGCTTTTTCAAAAAGCAACTGGAATTTCTTTCTTTCTTTTTCTTTGAAGACGTTTTGCTTCCCATCCAAGAAGCTTCTTCAGTTCTGACAGAACGGAAGGATTCCATTCTTTCAGCCTTTTGAAAAAAAAAACAACAACCCACCTTTGGGACAGCCGTGATTTAGATGACTGAGACTATCCAAGGTCCCTTCCAAACTCTGTTATTCTGCTATTCTTAGGGCTGTAATAAATTTGATTTGATTGTATTCGAGCAAGCAATGATGTCTTCAGGTTTGTGGAGGGTATCAATTATGAGTCAGATAGTTAAAGAATCTTGAGTTGCTATCAATACCTTCCCAAAAAGATCAAATCAGTGTGTAATGACTGAAGAAGGCACGTTCTCTGGTGGGCATACTCAGAGATTGAGGGGCATCATTTGTTTTCATTCTTTTTTTTTCTTTTTTGAACAGGTGAGTGTCCTTACTGACCAAGTGGATGCTCAGGGAGAGAAGATCAGGGATTTGGAATTGTGCCTGGAGGAAAACAGAGAGAAGCTGAATGCAACGGAAGAAATGCTACAGCAGGTACCTCCAACTTCTGTCTGTGAATCTAGGGGTTTTGTTTGGTGGAATCTCCCCTCTGTTTTTGATGCACACAGCACATGCTGGCCCACATATCCACATATTTTTTTTCTTGCAGATATTTCATGACCCAACTAGGTAGCATCATCAGGTGCACCTAGTTAGGTCATGCAATGTCTGCAAGAAAACAACAGAGCCCGGAGAGCACCAAGGACCCCACAGTTGTAGTCGTCGTCGTCGTCGTCGTCGTCGTCGTCGTCGTCGTCGTCGTCGTCGTCGTCGTCGTCGTCCTCCTCCTCCTCCTCCTCCTCCTCCTCCTCCTCCCTTCTTCCTTCTTCTCCTTCTCCCCCTCCTCCCCTTTCTCCTTTCTCCCTCTTCATTTGGCAGGACCTTCAAAGACACCCCATCTTTCTCTTCCCTCCTTTAAACCATCGATTCTCTTTTTTCATTTTTAACAGGAGCTCTTAAGCAGAACATCTCTTGAAACTCAGAAGTTGGATCTCATGGCTGAGGTCTCCAACCTGAAGCTTAAGTTGACTGCAGTGGAAAAGGACAGGATAGATTGTGAAGACAAATTCAGAGATGCAGATGTGAGTCAAGCCAGGTTCAGCATGGCTGAAACGTTTTGCCTTAGATTTCTTAACACATGATCTGTACTTAACAGTGCTGTTGCATCCACCATGATACAAAAAGATGTTGAGACTCTGGAAAGAGTGCAGAGAAGAGCAACAAAGATGATTAGGGGGCCGGAGGCTAAAACATATGAAGAATGGGTATGTCTAGTGTAATGAAGGGAAAGACAAGGAGTGATATGATAGTCTTCTAGTATTTGAGGGGCTGTCACAAAGAAGAGGGCATCAGCCTATTCTCCAAAGCACCTGAAGGCAAGACGAGAAAGTATGGATGGGAAGTAATCAAGAAAAGAAGCAAAATAGAATTAAGGAGAAATTTCCTGTCAGCGAGTACAATTAATCAGTGGAACAGCTTGCCTCTAGAAGTTGTAGGTGCTTCATCACTGGAGGTTCTCAAGAAGAAACTGGACAGCCATTTGTCTGAAATGATATAGGGCCTCTTACTTGAGCAAGGGGTTGACTAGAAGACCTTCAAGGTGCATTCCAACTCTGTTATTCTCTGTTCCTATCTGAAGTGGATGAGTAATACCTCCCCATCTGGAAGCAGTTAAAATCATTCAGATTTGGCACCAGCTATAGGAAGCAGAACAGGATTGTACAGCTCGAGGGACTAACAATATCATTTCTCTCTATCTACCAACCCTGTATTGTGGTTTTCTGAGTCCTGGTTTAATCGCCTGCTTTACATTCTCAAGCAGGCTATAAAAACAGGAGATCTGTTACTAAGGGGCTGCAGTAATGTTGGTCACTTCTAAACCTCCAAGCCCCAAATGAAACAATAATGTTGCTTTGTTGGAAACTATTACCCTGAACAAAAAAGAAAAAAAAATAATCCTCCAGGCTGGCTTTCATCTTCATTTCAAAGTCTTGTGGTCTAGAACAGGGGTAGGCAACCTTGGCTCTTTTATGACTCGTGGACTTCAACTCCCAGAATTCCTGAGCCAGCCGTGCTGAGGGGAAAGCGAGAGGTTTCCAAGCTGAGCCATGCTGGCTCAGGAATTCTGGGAGTTGAAGTCCACGAGTCATAAGAGAGCTAAGGTTGCCTACCCCTGGTCTAGAATATTCTAGAAGACCATTCTCATTAGCAAGAGGTCATGTCTCTGAGGTGCTCTGTGAAAAAAAGGACCATTTGTAGGAAGGTAGATTTGGGATCAAGGCAACCGTGGGATCTTTATCCTGATCCTTTCCGTTCTCCAATTGGTTCCCTCTTCTCTGAGGTCTTTGGAACAATATTTTTCCAGCCCCAGGCGCGAAGAAATATTTAAAAAGTGGTTAAATTTTATACAGTGGTTTGCAAAATCAGAGGGAGACCTAATCCTAGTCCTAAGTGTCTATGGAGATTCTCAGTCATCCAGGTCATAGATGTCCCAAAGGTGCTTTTTCACGAGGTACCTGGACTTTCTTGTTTTTCTTTGAAGACGTTTCTCTTCTCTTCAAGAAGCTTCTTCAGCTTTGACTGGATAGTGGGGAATAAATCCTTCCATTCCCCACCATCCAGTCAGAGCTGAAGAAGCTTCTTGGATGAGAAGTAAAATGGCTTCAAAGAAAAACAAGAAAGTCCAATTGCCTTGTGAAAAAACAGCTCTGGGACCCCGATCCTAAGATTTAAACTCCATAGATTTTAATGCTGAGATGCTTTATTTTACTGTTAGAATATTTTATAGATCTTTACACCTTACAGTAGTGGCCAAAATTGTGGAAACCTTTTGGGAAAAGTGTATTTTTGAGGTTTGATGGCTAATAACACAACCTTTTTTGGAGTAGTACCATAAAATTATATATCAATGGAAAGATAATTTAATCAAGAATGTAATGCAACAAAGTTTGTTCAATTATCTGTACTGTATTCTATGAAAAGTTATAGCCAAATAACCAGAAAAAGGAAACACAACTTGCTTAGGTTGATATCAGGTAGCTTTCCTTCATCTGATGGTAGCCAATGAGCATGAGTGTTTAGAGAGCCAATCAGGTGTCATCTTGCTTTGGCAATGAGCCAATCAGATCACAGGAGGATCCAGTGATTGATGTCATGTATTGAAGCTGAGAGGAGGACATTTGTCAGTGTGTTATGTGATGGCTATCCAATTGGTTGGGGTTTTTTGTGTTCTTTCATTTAGCGAGCTTGTAAAATGTAATAAAATTAAAGCAATGGTGCAAAGAGTTGACTGGTCGCCCAGAAAACGACGTAAAATAGTATTATTAAGTGAACAAGGCTACTGTTATAAAGAAATTAGAAGAAAAATGGGTGGAAACCTAACCAAAGGTGGCATTTCTACTGTACACTTTTCCCAAAAGGTTTCCACAATTTTGGCCAATGCTGTATCAACAGCTGATATCCCCCCTGACCAGTGTTGTGTTGAGAAAAAAAAACTTGTGTAAAATTGGCTAGCGTTCAGTCTTGTGTAACTGACTGTTGAAAAGATCGTGTTGTGTTGTTTCTTTCCACCTGGAAACTGGATGTGATCTGGGGGCCGAAGGGATTTTTTTTCTCTCTCAATTCAAAGAAGGTCTTCAAGTGAGGTGGAACATAGATAGTCCTTGACTTATGACCGCAACTGAGGCCAAAATTTCTGTTGCTAAGCCTGACACTTGTTAAGTGAGTCTTGCCCCATTTTACGACCTTTTTGCCAGGCTCGTTAAGGGAGTTAAACTGTTACGTGAATCTGGCTTCCCCATTGACTTTTCTTGTCAAAAGGTGGTCACGTGACCCCGCGACACTGCAACCGTCATAAATACGAGTCAGTTGCCAAGCCTCTGAATTTTGATCATGTGACCATGGGGATGCTGCAACGGTCGTAAGTGTGAAAAACGGTCATAAGTCACTTTTTCAGTGCCGTTATTGTAACTTCGAATCGACACTAAATGAAAGGTAGTCAAGAACCAGGTGTAGCGATGAAGAAAGTTGAAACTCAGCGAGAACTTGTTACACAGAGTAGCACATGCAGTACTAAGTGTTCCTACTTACAAGTGGAAAGGAGAACATCTGGGACGATTATTTTAATGGCCACCCAAATTCCTTCCATTATGTCAAGTTGTGGCTACCAAGAATGTGGGAATTATGCGTAAGGGCCCTTGTTTGAAAAGTTTGGCATGCAGAGGTTTTAAAATCAAACAGTTTCACAATCCTGATAGGAAATAGCAAGAATACTTTTGTTGTCTGAAAACACAGCAAAGCGTGGCTTCTTTCCTTATTTTCATTTTTTTTGTTTCCCAAAACTGATACTAAGAGGAAGTTTATGTCTAGGAGGAATAAAAGGGAAATGATGTGGTCATCTGAGAGGGAGAAGGAGAGGGAGAGAGGGAGAGAGAGGGAGAGAGAAAGAGAGGGGGGAGAGGAAAGAGAGAGAGAAAGAGAGAGAGGAAAGAGAGTGAGGAAAGAGGGAGAGGAAAGAGAGAAAGAGAGAACGAGAGAGGGAGAGAGGAGAGGGAGAGAAAAGAGAGAGGGAGAGGAAAGAGAGAAAGAGGGAGAGGAAAGAGAGAGGGAGAGAGAGGAAAGAGAGAGGAGAGGAAAGAGAGGGAGAGGAAAGAGAAAGAAAGAGAAGAAAGAAAGAGGGAGAGGGAGGGAGAGGAGAGAGAGAGAGGGAGAGAGAGAGAGAGAGATTTGATGTGAATATCTCTGTGAGATGCCTATTTTTAATGCAGTTTTTCAATGACATTTGAGGGAACCAAAAGTTTTGCAGTTTTAATTTTTGTTCTGCGGTTGCTGTATGTGGGAAATCTGGGATAAGTAAATCTGGAATTATTCCCTTTGAATGCTCATATTTTAACTGCTCTCATCTCTGAGCTGGTGTCTTCTAATGGTAAGTCCTTCTTTTGGAAGTAAGATTTGATGTGATCAGCAGACTTGTACTAAGTAAAATCTAGGCAGGTGATTGTATCTCATAGAAGAGAATAAATGTAGCTCAGAGTCGAACGATGGGGTCCTTGGTGCTCTCTGAGCTTGGTGGTTTTCTTGCAGACATTTCATGACCCACCTAGGTAACATCATCAGTGCTAGAAGGGAGTAGAGCTTGCTCTCTGTTTATATACTACTACCTTGCCCTATCAATGTAGCCTTGGTGGTTACTTCATTAGGCTGTTGGTGATTCTTAACTTGTTTGTCTACATTCGTAGTTCCTCCCTATATAAAAATAACAGCAAACTCCCCTCCCTTTCAGCACTGATGATGTTACCTAGTTGGGTAATGAAATGTCTGCAAGAAAACTATCAAGCTCAGAGAGCACCAAGGACCCCAGAGTATCTCAGCCTTGGCTGCTTTTGAAAAGCTAAGTAAGGCCAGATTTGGTTAATATTTGAATGCGAGACAATGGGAGAAAATTGGACTGTAGGCTTACACTGCGAAGTTGGAAAAAAAAATTTGGAAAATGCCACGGCAAATTACTTCATCATTTTTACTAAGTAACTGCATGGAGTTTCTCCTTCAACGTCCCTATTAAAGTCAAAGGGATGTCCTTTGAGGCAGCTGCTTTGAGTGCCTTAGAGGATGCAGCTGCTTTAATACTCTGGGATGTGGTATTTGGCTTTCTGCAGTGAGTTTGGGGGAACGCTCTTCCTTCATTGTATGCGTCCCAGATAGTTGGCTTGCTTAGATATTTCCATCTCATTGGCTTCCACCTTTTTCTAAACAGCAATAGCATCGGCACTTAGACTTACGTACCGCTCCATAGTGCTTTACAGCACTCTCTAGGACAGGGGTAGGCAACCTTGACTCTTTTATGACTCGTGGACTTCAACTCCCAGAATTCCTGAACCAGCATGGCTCAGCTTGGAAACCTCTCCCTTTCCCCTCAGCATGGCTGGCTCAGGAATTCTGGGAGTTGAAGTCCACGAGTCATAAAAGAGCCAAGGTTGCCTACCCCTGCTCTATGAGGTTCATAGAATGAGCATGTTGCCCTCAACAATCTGGGTCCTCATTTTACCGACCTCGGAAGGATGGAAGCCTGAGTCAACCTTGCGCCAGTCAGGATCAAACTGCTGGCAGTGGGCAGAGTCTGCCTGTAATACTGCACTCTAACCACTGCACCAGCTGATGTCATTTTAAAACTGTGTTTTGAAGATAGAAGAAGTAGCTCAGCTGTGTCTAGTGCATTTTCCTACTCGTTTTCATGATTTTCAAATCTTCTTTGTTCATTTCTTTTACTTCAAAACAGGATTTGATGCAGGAGGTTAATGATTTGCGCCTAAAAGTAGGAGATATGGACAGGGAAAGACTTCAATATGAGAAAAAGCTTAAATCTACCAAAGTAAGTCCATGTTCCAGATAAAGAAACACATCTTCAGCAGTCTATGCCTCATGACTTGTGTATCCGTATTCATGTCTCTTTTCTACTTAAAGTTGGTTCGTGGATATGGTCACCAGTACGTGATTGACTTAAGCTTGTGTTTAAGGTGGTAGAAATGGGTAATGGTTAGGAGCTGTTTCTATGAAACTGTCTTTATGAAGGGCTAGTAATATTTCTTTCTTTGCATCATGGAAAGAAGAGGATTGAGGAATTGGAGAAACCTAACTCGACGATCTTTCTGTATTTTTTACGCTATCCCTTAAGGGTGTAATTCACAAAATGAAAGACCAAGGAGTCACACCTGCGAAGAAGAAATTAGCACACACTTTCTTTAAAATGTCTAATTATCTTGCTGGTGTAGAAAAAGAAGATGGTTAGATACCTTCTTTTGAAAGACAAAGTTAGATGTTCATTGGGTATATAATTTCATTCTAATTGGAAGATCACATTGGAGAGCCATATGAAAAGTTAGTTTCTAGAACTGTTTAGGAAAGGCCAACAATGGGGTTGAGGATTACTTAGATTTGACTCCAGAATTGTGCTTTGTGTATGCAGGAGCACAAACATAGTATCTGTCTACATCAGGGGTGGGGAACGATGGCCCTTTTATGACTTGGGGACTTCAACTCCCAGAATTCCTGAGCCAGCATGGCTGGCTCAGGAATTCTGGGAGTTGAAGTCCACCAGTCAAAAAGGGACCATTATTTCCCCATGCTGGCTCAGGAATTCTGGGAATTGAAGTCCACCAGTCATAAAGGGACCATAGTTCCCCCATGCTGGCTCAGGAATTCTTGGAATTGAAGTCCACCAGTCATAAAGAAGCCATAGTTCCCCCATGCTGGCTCTGGAATTCTGGAAGTTGAAGTCTATAAGTCATAAAGGGCCCATTGTTCCCCCATGCTGGTTCTGGAATTCTGAGAGTCCACAAGTCATAAAGGGGCAATTGTTCCCTACCTCTAGTCTGAAAGCAGCCATATCATTTCCCAAGCTTAAAACTCCCCAATCTTTTCTTACAGCCCAAAGCCAAAGATTGAAGGTATAACTGATTACAATGTAAAAATAAATAAAAGTTGAATAATATAAATAATCGTGATAGTTGATACAAAAGGTATGTTATAATTGTGGGAGGACTTTATCAATTAATGCCTAATTTTTACAAATGCTGCTTAATATTTGGCCATAATCTAATTGATTTACAATCCACAAAAAAAGGACGAAACTAGAAGTATTGTCAGATTGATGTAAAAGGGGCAGGTTATAGGAATTACAAATATCTCTATAGAAGCTACAGAAAATTACTGAGTTGGACAGTTTTTCATCATCTCCAGTTTTAATGGGCAAACACGTTTCGCAAATGGAAGTTTAGAATATCTTCCTCGTAATAACTCCAAAGTCAGAATATTATGTCTTGTCCCAAAGAAACTCTTGTTTAGGTTGGTGGATGTCTGAAGAAAGATCATTGGCCTTAAAAAAAAAAAAAAAAAAAAAAGCTCTTTGTCACCAAGTCCTATGTCTCTATGATAGTTTATTTACTTCTGCCTGAAATTCTATGTGCTTACATTTTTGGAGAGGTGTAAGTTTGGCAAGGTCATGGGCCAAGGTTCATAGAAACTCTGAACTGAAAATCATCTGTTTTTGTTCTATGATGTCCTTCTAGCTTGAGGGACAATCATTAATCATTATTAATGGGACTGGATCCAAGAGAAAAAGATTGCTTTCAGAAGTTGAAGACAGATGGGAAGATTCACCTTCTCACATAGTCCAAAGCACAAGCTTTGGCGATCGAACCCAGAGCACAGTTAAACCCAATTGACCAGACACATTGCACAATTCCTGTTAGATCTGTCCTTCGTATTGAACAGCTAATATAAGGTCTTCTGCTTCCAAGGTTTGGTGTCTTTTGATAGGCGTATCTTTGATTGAAAGTCAGCTCTTTTGCTTTGAACGTAGTCCTGTTTATTATTCTTATTATTTAGCCTTTTCCCTTCCTACATCTTTACTTCTCTTTCAATCCTCTGTCCCTCTTGCCAGTCTTTAATGGCCAAACTTTCTAGCATGAAAATCAAAGTGGGCCAGATGCAGTATGAAAAACAGCGGATGGAGCAAAAATGCCAAATGCTGAAGGTCTGGTAGATTGGTGGTTTTTGAATCATTTATTTTCCATGGCTTTCGTAACCCTCTTTGCCATCTTGTTTGTCTGTATTTTTAAACTTTTTTTTTTTTTGGTGTAATGCATGTATGGATTTTTTCCCCTCCTGTTCCTATGTAAATCCCTCCGATTTATTTATTTATGTCTCCAGCTAAACCAAAATATCTCTGTGTATGTTTCTAAAATATCTCTGTTTCTATTTAAAAGAAAGATTTGATTTAGCATAACGCAGAAAACCATCAGCTGCCGGTTTCTTTCTTGAAATGCGTTCACCACATTAAGCTGAGCTTAAAAAGAAACACAATCTTAGGTATTCCATTTTGGATTTCAGGCTGTGTTAACCTGTTATATTTTCGCTGACAAGTATGCTTCTGTTGCAGAGAAGATTCCTTGATTTTTGGCCTATTTCAGGGGTAGGCAACCTTGGCTCTTTTGTGACTCGTGGACTTCAACTCCCAGAATTCCTGAACCAGCATGGCTCAGCTTGGAAACCTCTCCCTTTCCCCTCAGCATGGCTGGCTCAGGAATTCTGGGAGTTGAAGTCCACGAGTCATAAAAGAGCCAAGGTTGCCTACCCCCTGGCCTATCTGCATTAAAAAAATTTTAAATTGGGTCACTGGATCCCTCTAGCATTTTAATTTTATAAAAAGGGAGGCTAGGAAGTATACAGTATATGTGTCTATGCGTGTGTTTGTGTAGGCTTGTATGTATTTGTCTATATACACAAACACACATGCACAAACAAAAATTGTCTTTCCTGCATTGCAATTCCCTAGGCCAGGGGTAGGCAACCTTGGCTCTTTTATGACTCCTGGACTTCAACTCCCAGAATTCCTGAGCCAGTATGGCTCAGCATGGAAACCTCTCCATATCTCCTCAGCATGGCTGGCTCAGGAATTCTGGGAGTTGAAGTCCACAAGTCATGAAGGGGCCAAAGTTTCTCCCATGCTGGCTCAGGAATTCTGGGAGTTGAAGTCCACGAGTCATAAAAGAGCCATGTTGCCTACCCCTGGATCTTCCCTTTGTATACAATATATATGCTGTATCACTCTCCACTGCTTGGTACACAACTGTACAAGAACACACAGCTTTTTCTGTGATCCAGAATCCAGAACAATTTTTAAGAATAAAATTCCACTCTGGGTCTCAGCCTGCCCACTGTTTTTGATTTTGGCTTGAATTTCTTTTTTTTAACCCCCTGACCCTGAGTTTCAACTGCTGACATCCAGGAATTTTTTAAAAAAATCAGCCGTTCTCAGAAAGATAATCTGGAACCATGTCTAAGGATAAAATTCCATCCGTTCTCTGATATTTTAGCCAATTATTTTGGGGGATAAGTGACTAATAAATCTGAGAGGCATTCAGTTATGGAGTTAGGAGTCCCAACATGATAGATTCATTCGGGTTGTATGTGAGAATGAATTATTCCTTGCCAGGGCCATCCATATGAAGATGTTCTATTATTTGAATCTTAATCCTTTATTATTTGAATCTTAATCCTGTTCTATTATTTGAATCTTAATCCTGAAACACAGTTCTAAACTTTTATAATTCTTTCCTTCCTATTTAAACATTTTATGATGGTGTATGTTAATTTGAGTTTCCTTAAAAACAAACAAAGAAACAAATCAAAAACTATTTATAATTTGAGCAAGATATTTACATTTGTGGGATATCCCCATATATATACTATCATAGTTAATTCTTTTATCCGTGTCTGTATTTTTCCCCACGAACAAATGTACGGAGCACATAGTTACATTCCTACATATGCACTGTTTTTATGATTTTAAGCCTAAAAGCATGCCGAAGCATTTTGTGTTGTGAAAGATGTCATTTTAAGAACTTTCAATCTGGAGTCACTTCCATTGAAAGCAGGCGAGTGTAGAATTGTGCTGTCAGTATTGTATACCTAATTGTTGGGGGAAATGGGTCATGCATGACTAAATGGCAAGGAAGATCCTTTTAGGATCACCTTTCAGTTCAACCCAGGATATTAAATGTTTAAATCAGAGATGGATGACTTTGTGGCTAGAAGAGAGATTATTTTTATATTTTATATTTGCACAGGTAAACTTCAGTTTACAATCATTTGTTTAATGACCCTTTGAAGTGACTTATTGAAGTGACAACTGTTGCAACATCCCCATTGTTGCATGATCAAAATCCACATGTTTGGCAAATGACTCATGTTTATGACGGTCAAAGTGTCCCGGGGTCATGTGATCCCCTTTTGGCCAAATCTGATATGATTATTTAAAAATAAATGAATGCCATCTCTACTTTAAACAGCCAACTTCGGTTTAAAGCTGTCTTTTTTAAAAGTGAAAGCCAAATATATTGATTTTCTATTTTTTTTTTCTGTCTGCCCAGGAAGAACTATTGTCTTTAAAAGAGAAATTAGAACAGAAGGAATCGGAAATAAAACAATTGCAAGAAAAATTGGCCCTTCAAGGGAAAGGAGACATTGACCTAAATGGCAAAGGTGAGGCAAAAACGGTAAACACCGCTTTTGTGATGCTGGCTGGGGGATTGTGGGAGTTCACACAGTTGAAGTTGAAGCCCGCAGATCTTAAACTTGCTAAGGTTGAGAAACGTTGGGCATAGATTGTTATTTATTTTTTTAAAGAAGGCAGAAACTGTATTTGCCTCTCCCTCTACACCCTACAAGTAAGTCATTAGGAGTAGCAAATTTACTCTGGACATTCTTTAAGTAGCTGAGTTTTGGCGGGCAGAATTTTCTTTTAAAACACGCATCCCAAAAGCCAAACGTTTACCCTTCGGGATTACCCTTCGGGATTAGGGGACTGGAGGCTAAAACATATAAGGAACGGTTGCTGGAATTGGGTATGTCTAGTTTAACGAAGAGAAGGACGAGGGGGGACATGATAGCAGTGTTCCAATATCTCAGGGGCTGACACAAAGAAGAGGGAGTCAAGCTATTTTCCAAAGTGCCTGAAGGCAGGACAAGGAGCAACGGGTGGAAACTAACCAAAGAGAGAAGCAACCTAGAACTAAGGAGAAACTTCCTGACAGTTAGAACAATTAACCAGTGGAACAACCTGCCTCCAGAAGCGGTGAATGCACCAACACTGGAAGTTTTTAAGAAGAAACGGGTTTCCTGCCTGAGCAGGGGGTTGGACTAGATGACCTCCAAGGTCCCTTCCAACTTTATTATTATTATTATTATTATTATTATTATTATTATTATTATTATTATTATTATTATTATTATTATTATTATTATTATTATTATTATAACATCAGCAAGCATGAGATGCTTGTGCCGAAGATTGCTAAAATGTTTGCAGAACGAGGAACAGCTAAATGTACAGCTTTAATAAAGCTAAACAAGCACGGACTTCTTAAAATAAAGAAAGAGTTTGTAAGTTTTTATTTATGGTGTTGTAAGCTGGTTTTTATTTCCTGAAGGTGGGTGAGTCACGAGTTTAATAAATAGCAGCTAATTTATTCACTGAGTTTAGATGCCATTCAAGTCAACTTGTGATTGTAGACAGCTTAACAGAATTGCAATCCTTGCTGCAATTTATCCAGCTGGGAATAAGGAGGGTGTATTTGGTGTTTTTTTAAAAAAACTTTTTAACTAATAAATAATATTAGTTATTTAACACTTACTATCACTAATTTTATTAGCTTAATTTAAATTTTAAAATATTATTATTATTATTATTATTATTATTATTATTAACAACAACAGCAACAACAACAATAATAATAATAATAAAGTTGGAAGGGACCTTGGAGGTCATCTAGTCCAACCCCCTGCTCAGGCAGGAAACCCTATACCATTTCAGACAAATGGCTGTCCAGTCTCTTCTTAAAAACTTCCAGTGTTGGCGCATTCACCGCTTCTGGAGGCAGGTTGTTCCACTGGTTAATTGTTCTAACTGTCAGGAAGTTTCTCCTTAGTTCTAGGTTGCTTCTCTCCTTGATTAGTTTCCATCCGTTGCTTCTTGTCCTGCCTTCAGGTGCTTTGGAGAATAGCTTGACTCCCTCTTCTTTGGGGCAGCCCCTGAGATATTTGAACACTGCTATCATGTCACCCCTAGTCCTTCTTTAATAAAGACATCTATATTATTGCGAAGGCTTTATATTTGATGGGTTAGCCTAAAGCAGTGGTTCTCAACCTTTTTAATGCCGAGACCCCCAACCGGTCGTAAGTCGAGGACTAAACCGGCCGTAAGTTGAGGACTACCCAACCGGTCGTAAGTCGAGGACTTTCCCTTCCCGGAAGCGCCGCGCATGCGTGGTTCCGCCCCCTGCGCCAGCCGAGGCGTAGCTGGCAAGCGGCAGAGACGGAGCAGGCCGACCACCAGCTGGCCCAGCCCAAGGGAGTAAGGCACCCGCCGGAAAAGGGGAAAAAATGGCGGACAGCCTTGCTTGGCGACCCCCGTGAAATGGTCGATCGACCCCAAATGGGGTCGCGACCCATAGGTTGAGAACTGCTGGCCTAAAGCCATGAGGCAGATCATTTACGATGGCCTTGTGTGAACCACAAATAATCGCATTGCGCTTTAGACGTTAAGAGGTTAAGTTGCGGAAGATTTAAAATCAGGTCAATCTCAGCCATGGAAATTTAGGAAGTGATTGTAGACAGCTGACTCACCCTCAGCCCAACTTCACAAGGCTGTTAGGGGTGTGAAACTTGGAATAGGCGTGCTAAATGAACCGCCCGGAAGTTCTAGATTTTTATATTTGTAAATGAAAACAGGGAGTTTGCGTTTGGTTTGTCTTGAACATGCTTTTAATGCTCGGAATCTAATTTTTCAATCTCATGGGTCTTCCTGCACAGATGACAATTGTAAAAAGAAGCTGAAAGACAAAAGTAAGGGTTTTTTTGGTGTCCTCTCCCAAACACATGTCATACATTGTTTTCCCAGTAGCACTTCCTGCATGTATCATGTTAAAATCATATTAATCCTCAACCCCTCACCTTCACTCTTCATCTCTCATTCAGTGAATATCTGAGGGAAACTGTAAGGGGAACCCTTGTGTTTTAAATGCTCTACAGGTGATCCTCGACTTACGACCTCAACGGAGCCCAAAATTTCTGTTGCTAAGTGAGACAGCCATGAAGTGAATTTTGCCCCCTTTTCATAACCTTGCTTGCCACAGCTGTTCAGTGAATCGCTGCAGCTGTTAAATCTGGCTTCCTTCTTGACTTTGCTTGTCAGAAGTTCTTACATGACTCCGGGACACTGCAACCGTCATAAGTACCAGCCAGTTGCCCAGCATTCGAATTTGGATCAGGCGACCATGGGCATGCTGCAGTGGTCCCTAAGTGTGAAAAATGGGTCCTAAGTTGTAACTTCGAACGCTCACTAAATGAACTGTTGTAAGTCGAGATTCCCTGTATTTTCCCTTTAAAGCACACATGTCAAACACAAGGCCTGGGGGCCGGATGCGGCCCGCAAAGTGGTTTCATGTGGTCCGTGAAGCCATCCTGGAAACAGTGAGGGAATGGCTCCCACTGCCTTGGCCCTGCCCTAGGCCGGCCGGGAGCCAATGTACAATTTTGTGGTGGCCATCTATGCTGAAAGGCATTTAGTCTTAGCTCCACAAGGCTGTCTGGAAACAGCGAGGAACCAGTCCCTGCCGTGTCGGCCCCGCCCCCTGTGTGCATGCTGGGGAGGTGTCCCCCTTTGTGAGGAATGAAGAAATGGACCATGCCTTGGCGCTTGCCTCAGTCCCACCCCCTTCTGCCAGAGACCCTCAGATCTGTCCCACTTCTGCCCAGGCCCCCACAGGCACTCTTGACGTGAACGATGTAGAGCTGGCCATGCCCACCCAGTAGGCCACACCCATTCCATCCACGCCCACCCAGTAGACTGCACCCACGCTGGCCACACACCCCCAGCCCCCCCCAGGGCAACCGCAATGCTGATGCGGCCCGCAATGAAATTGAGTTTGACACTCCTTGTCTACGGAGATTCTCAGTCATCCAGGTTAAGGTTGAAAAAGCACGTTTGGGAAAAGGGCTATTTTGTCATACAAACACTCACACCTATTTTTAACACAGTATCTTAATACAGTAGTTTGTAAAGGCCAAATGCACAACAAGACAAATGCACAACAAGACAAATGCACAACAAGACCAAATGCACAACAAGACCCACCCCCTTCTGCCAGAGACCCTCAGATCTGTCCCACTCCTGCCCAGGCCCCCCACAGGCACCCTTGATGCGAACGATGTAGAGCTGGCCATGCCCACCCAGTAGGCCACACCCACTCCATCCACGCCCACCCAGTAGGCCGCACCCACTCGGCCCCCCGAGGACAACCGCAATGCTGATGCGGCCCTCAATGAAATTGAGTTTGACACCCCTGCTTTAAAGGAAGTGGTGGGTTTCTAATGTAATAATTCCAGTCCTTGGTTTATAGTTGGGAACACTCTTGAGCATGTAATACAAAAGTCTCCATTTCAGTTCAGCTGAATTGATTGAGTGGATCTGAGAGCAACAAATAACTTTGATGAATTCCATTCTCACAAGACTAATTAATTTTATTTATCAAAATTCACAAACATATGTTCAGCTAGCATCTGGTTAGGTCATACCCGGTACTGTCTTCAACCATTTTTTTTTTTTGGTGAAACTTAAGCTGAAGTTACACATATCGGCATGACTTTTGATCACAACAGATATATCCACCCTTTTATCACAAATATCTTACTTCACAATCGCTTCTAATCTATTGACACCATCCCGTTGCCTCGTCTTTTACTGTTATTTTCCTTTTTTACATTTCTTCAGCTGTTCAGTTTCTTTTTATGCGGCTGCTGATGTTACAAAAGAGTCATCGTTGTTTCAAACTATAGGGAATGTTTTAATCTTTGGAGATTTCTAACATTCCTGATAAATTAATAAGATTGAGCATTCCCTTGTATTTTTGCAGAGCTACAGTTGCGTAGTGGGTAAGAGTGAGTCAAAAAATCGGAAAGTCCTTTGGTTTAGAATTCCCACTTCACTTTGCTTTTGTGTCCTTCACACATCGTTCCCGACTTAAAATTTGTCAACCTGGTTAGCACCATGGTTTCATGTTGAACTTCAACTTAACAAGCTGGATTGCAGTGTCTTTGAATGCTCTCAGTAGTGTAATGGATTAGAAGCGTGCAAGGAATGACGGTTATTTTAATCTTCAACTAGCATGAATCACCACATGCCCCTTGCTCCATTAAAAACTAATTTGATTTCTTCCTGCTTAAATTTTGGATTTAATTGAGAGGAAGTCCATTTGTATTTCTCCTGGTCCAGGGGTAGGCAACCTTGGCTCTTTTATGACTCGTGGACTTCAACTCCCAGAATTCCTGAGCCAGCATGGCTCAGCTTGGAAACCTCTCCCTTTCCCCTCAGCATGGCTGGCTCAGGAATTCTGGGAGTTGAAGTCCACGAGTCATAAAAGAGCCAAGATTGCCCACCCCTGTCCTGGTCCATGCTAAACTGTAGAGTTGGTCAAGAAATGGTGTTCCTTCTATCCTTCCATGTTTTTGTAAGCGGTAACTTTTTACCTTTTAGATGTTGAGGTCCAAAAGATGAAGAAGGCCGTGGAATCTTTATTGGCGGCGAATGAAGAAAAGGTAGATATGAAAATACTTTTCTGATTTTGATTTTGGTAAATGAACAGTAGGCGGATTGAGTCGATGGGGCCCGTTTAAAAGTGGCGTCCTTGTTCTGTTTGCAGTTAGTGGGAAACACTGAAGGAGGATGTGCTATATGATTACTTGCAGGTAAATGAAATCGCCTTGCAAGCAAGAACATTGACAAAGCAGAGTTCCTGGATAGGTAGAGACGTTCACTGGAATTCAAATAAAGGAGAGGGAGATACCCTTCCTTCTTTGAAAGTAGCAAGTTCATTGGACATACAAGCCAGATATTAGACCCACTCCCTTCTAGCACTGATGATGTTACCTACTTGGGTCATGAAATGTCTGAAAGAAAACAAACCAAGCTCAGAGAGCACCAAGGGCCCCTCATGTTTAAGATTCTGGAGTTTGCAGTGCTTCAGATCTGAGACACCACCCAATGCTTCAAAGGAGGAAGGGATCAGCCCCCATTTCCTTCACATTCTATCCTGGAAAAAGCCACAGAAGCCACAGACGGAAGTTGTGTTTACATCCTTCAGTTCAGAGTGTCGTGCAACCGTACTGCTGAATTATAACTGTGTTAAGTGGGTGTATTATTTCTAAATGAGTTTGATGTTCAAGCAGAGTCTGCTGCTTGAGCAGGGGGTTGGACTAGAACAGGGCTTTTCAACCAGTGGTATGGGTACCACCTGTGGTACATTGGCACCTGGCAGGTGGTACGCGACCATCCTAGAAAAGTGCTAGCAGGGGAGGGGAATGAGCTTAACCGGTGGCAGCACCGCACAAGCCTGAACGAGAGATGGCTGGAGCTGCAGGGCTGTCAGGGCTCAGCGGAAGCACCAGGATCAGTGCCGCTTTCCAGCTGATCGGTGCTTCTTCGGGGCTGTCAGGGCTCAGCGGAAGCGCCAGGATCAGCGCCAGGCTCCAGCTGGAGCTCGGCGCTGATCCTGGTGCTTCTGCTGAGCCCAGAAGAAGCACCAATCAGCTGGAAAGCAGCATTGATCCTGATGCTTCTGCTGAGCCCAGAAGAAGCGCCGATCAGCTGGAATGTTGCAGCATCCCCAGGGTCTTGTGATTTACATTCAGATGCTTGGCAACGGATTCATATTTATGACGGTCACAGTGTCCCAGGGTCATGTGAAGTGACCAAAACCTGCTGCAACCACCCATCAGACGGGGGGAATAAAAACCAAACACCCCACCCCACCCCACCCCATCTGCCAATCCTCAACAGAAATGCTCAGAACAATGAAAACCTCAGACAGGAGGAAGAGCGCCGCCGGTTGGGCAGGCAGGTGTCTTGCTCGGCTGTGGCTTGGGGGGCACTTTTTTCAGTGCCATTGTAACTTCGAACAGTCACTAAGCGAACTGTTGTAAGTCGAGGACTACCTGTACTTCATCACTTTTTTCCTTTTTTTTTTTTTTTT